GGGTTTTAAAAATGGACAATGAGGGGGCCTGTCGGATGAGCAATGGTAAGGTGTTCCAGAGCTTAGGGCCACAAACAGAGAAAGCTGTTTCTCCTCTAAGCTTCCTCTACAGGTGAGAACGGCCAGGAGCAGCTGGTCAGCAGACCTAAGGGACCGAGAGGGAATGTAATGATGGAGGAGCTCTGTTAAATATGGCGGGGGGGGTCTGGGATCAGGACCTGAAACAGAATGGTTGCAGAGGTGAGTATATGAAGTTCTTCCAGTAATGGTTCTTAGCAGATAAGTTATACAGGTGAGTTCTTACAGGCTGGAGAAGGAGATTAGGCTTGGAGGAGTTGGTCCAAAAGGTGAGTATTTACAGGTGAGTAGTTATTTACAGTGAATTGTGGGAGGCAGCGCATGAGATTCTGGTGAGTGGCTCTGAGTCCAAGGCAGCTGGCAAAAACGTGCTGGAGGTCGCTTTCTGCAAACAGGCAAGTAAAAATACACAGGTAATATAAACTCTAGGAGAGACAACAAGCAGCAGGCTGAGCTCATACCAAAAAATAAGGSGATGCTTCAGCGATGAGATGATCCTCAGCACAGCCTTAAGAAGCCTGGAGGTAGATGAGCCAAACTACATGCAGGTGTGGGTAATCAGCGCTGCACCCAATCATGGAGGCAGGGGGTGGAAAYACCAAAATGCCTCACTTACTGCAGCAGTGGGGCCTCCTTGATGTCATTTTGTGATGGATACAGCTGTAATGTATTATCACTGATAATGATGATCATTTTTCTACATTACAAAACTTTGTTAAAACACATTAAGGCTCTTGATAAGATCCACACTGACAGTCTGGTGCTCTTTAAAATCCATCCTGTGCTGACTCATACTTGCAGACATTAGGAAAATGTCAGACTGTGACAGAGGTGAACGGAGCCGGCCTTCCACCTGCGCAGACCTGCAGAGCATAGATTTACTGTCAGCTCCGTTCTGTTTGATCATTTCTGGCTCCGGCTCYTCTTTTCAGACGGATGAATTTTACCATCCGGAGCAAGCTTTGAGAACCGAACCTTCAATGTTCAGTCAGAGTCTGAATGTTTTGGGATTATTTTGAGTATTTTTGCAGAGCAGAGCCAAGCTGAAGGTGTTGTGTTATGCTGTTGAAGCAGAAGCTCGATGCCCTTTTTGTCGCGTTCAGGCTGCATCATGTTTATCTCAGGGGCAGTGAAGACTGCTGGATGTGCTGGGAGCAGCAGGAATCTGATACATCTCCACCGTATCCCATCATGCCTTGCTGCCTTTAGCGTTTTCCCTGCTTCACTCTTGAGAGCATCTGTTAAAGTGGAGGAGAGGGAAGCAAAGAGCTCACAGAGAAAGATGTTGAATAATTAAACTGGACAGATTTCCCTCTGCTGCTCTGTAATGGATACACATTTACAACTTTTCTTTTTGCCTCAGCGATCTGACCTGTCTTTTTATCGCCCACCACTGAAGGAGATCCTGTTTTTCTTCTTGACTGTGTTTGTCTGTAGGTTTAGAAAAATATCTGATGAACCAGTAAACAGATTTTAATCAAACTCTCAGGAAGCCATCATGCTTATTATTGTATCAACAAATGATTAACTTTTGAAGTGAGTCCGATTCAAAATGACTGCCACAGCTAATCCACCGCAGCCAACACATAAATGATGACAACTCAGTCAGTTTTACAGATATTCAGCCACATTTGGTGTGGTAGTATCTGATAGTTGTCCTCACCACTTACGTCAAGCACTAACCTAAACTAGTTTTTATTATCAGTTGTTTTTACACCACCTTTATTATTATTTTGGGAGTTTCATTTAAATCTGTTTACAGTTTATGAGATGTCCTGTGTTCATCATAATTTAGTTTTATTTAGTTTCATCAATCTTCTGTTCATACTTGTGTCCCTGACATGATAACAGTTCAGATTGAGCAGCTAATCAGATTATTGAAATAATCTTCTGACATATTAGAGTCTTCCTGCTCAGCTGCTGGAGCATTGGAGGAGCTCAGTGGAGCTGAGAGAGAAACGATGGTCAATACTTGTGTGTTTGGATCAAATGAACTCGTGATCTTAAGTAGAAGTAACAGTACTATGAGTTTTTATTTACGATTAAGATTTTTCAAAGGGGACCTATAATGCAAAATTCACTTTTTAAAGTTTTTTTTACTCAACTTTGGGTATGTACTTCTTTAAAAACAGTCCTAGGACCAATAAAATGCACCCAGGGGCATATTTACTGTAAGCAAATGTATTTTTAATGTATATTAATGACAAGTTTTATACTTTCGTAATTTTGTGATGTCACAAGCCGTACGACAACCCACCGGAACCTGCATTCAGCCCCTTACCTAACAACCCCTGGGTGAGACTCCRCCTCCTCAGTATAAAAAGCCGTCACAGTTGTTGTTGTGCAATGCGCAGCTCATTTCACAGCAAGCCTCCAATAGGGCAATGGGTAGAGTGTTGGACCAGGGAGCAGGAAACCAGGGTTCGAGACTGGTGTAGACACAATGTAATTATTTATTTATTTTTGTTTGTTATGAACACATTTTCTCATGTACCTCTATTGTTTAGCTTATTAAAGCCTTGTTAAAGCTTATTTGTTCGAGTTTCTGAGGTATTTTGACCGCTGCTGCTCCCTGCTCTGGTAACAGCATGCAGAGTGAGCGCAGAGCAGAGGAGGGAGAAAAAACAGAAGCTGCGACCACGACACTGCCTCTGGGGCTCATATGGTTGTACAACGGAGCTTCTGCTATTATTAGCCATGCTAATGTAAACGCTGGCTTTGGAGGGCGGAGTTAATGTCAACAGATTTTTGGAGGGCGTTACCAACAGAGCTCATTAACATAAACAGCTCTTCTGAACAGAAGTCAGAGAAGGCAGATCTAGAAAATGGGAAATTTTATTATCTGAGAATTATTTTGTGCATTAAAACATACAAACCTCTAGAACATTTGTGCACATATTGTATTTTATCCATCCATCCATTATCTATACCTGCTTCTTCCTTTCAGGGTCAGGAATGCATATCCGTCGTCACCTTGCATGCCAAAAAAGTAAAAAATCAAAATCTGTGTCCTCTTGTGTCTGTTGGTAAAATATCTCACAAACTACTTATTCTAATAAAACTTTCAGATAGTAATCAATAGATGTACATTGCAGCTGCCAACACACAGCCAAATGAACTTAGAACACTCCTACAGCTGTAATCCTGTCTAGTTTACAGATTTTGAAACTTGATGTGGTCGTAGATGAGTGGTTTATCACATGAGGTTGTTGCATTCTGTTATTTTCAAGGTTTGACCTAGAAGTCCACAACTGTCATTTTTTAACACAAGATGGTCTCTATTAGCCTGGCCCTCGCCCTTCTACACAGTTCCGCTCAATTTTAGTTTCCCTTCTCTGCTCCGTCAGGGATTTCTCCCATAGACAAGGATTTCTCCAGTAGAATTTTAACTGGGCCAATCAGCAAACAGAAGGAGGAGTTTTGAATGACGTCKATTTTCTATGTTGTTTTAGTCTGCTTATAGTGGAGGAAGTGAAAGAAGCCAGTCCACTCAGTCACAGCCACTTCGTTCGACTCGGTACTTCTCCCTTCCCAGTAGAGGATGCACTGTAAGAAAATGAAATGTTGGATTTACTTAACCATGTTATGTTACCTGGTTCCACTTAACTGAGTTGAGTAAATTCAAAGCAATATACCAGTTTTTTTAGCCAAAGAACATGGGTATATTGCTTTGAATTTACTCAACTCAGTTAAGTGGAACCAGGTAACAACATGGTTAAGTAAATCCAACATTTCATTTTTAGAGTGTGGTTGTTTACAGCGCACTCCATTTCTGGTGTTCACATTCTTGGCACAAAGTTGAGCTTGTTCTCAGTGTGCGTTGGACTCCGCCAGGGCAGTCCCTCGTCTCAGATCCTGTTTGTAGTGTTTATGGACAGGATCTCAAGGCACAGTTATGAAGAGGAGGGTGTCTGGTTTGGGAACCACAGGGTCTCATCTCTGCTGTATGCAGATGATGTGGTTCTGTTGGCATCTTCAGACCAAGACCTTCAGTGTGCACTGGGGCGGTTCGCAGCCGAGTGTGAAGCGGCTGGGCTGAAGGTCAGTTCCTCTAAGTCTGAAGCCATGGTTCTCGACTGGAAAAGGGTGGAATGCACCCTCCAAGTTGGGGGAGAGTCTCTGCCTCAAGTGGAGGTGTTGAAGTATCTGGGTGTCTTGTTTACAAGTGATGGTAGAATGAAACGGGAGATGGATCAACGGATTGGGGCCTCATCCTCAGTAATGAGGGCGTTGCTTCGGTCAGTTGTGGTGAAGAAAGAGCTGAGTTGAAAGGCAAAGCTCTTGATTTACTGGTCTGTCTTCGTTCCAACCCTCACCTGTGGTCATGAGGTGTGGATCATGACCAAAAGAACAAGATCCTGTATACAGGCGGCCGAAATGAGCTTCCTTCGTTGGGTGGCCAGGCTCAGCCTTAGAGATGGGGTGAGGAGCTCCGTCATCCGGGGGAGCTCGGAGTAGAGCCGCTGCTCCTCCACATTGAAAGGAGTCAGTTGTAGTGGTTCGGGCATCTGAATAGGGCACCTCCCTTTAAAGGTGTTCCAGGCACRTCCCACTGGTAGGAGGCCCCGAGGAAGACCCAGGACTCGCTGGAGGGATTATGTATCCTCTCTGGGCTGGGAACACCTCGGGGTCCCCCAGGATAACCTGGAAAGTGTCGCTGGGTAGAGAGATGTCTGGGTTTCTCTCCTGGACCTGTTGCCTCCACAACCTGACTACGGATAACAGAAGAAGATGGAGATGGAAATGGAGACAATTTCTGGTTAGCTTCCTTCATGGTGGAGCTGATGCACTGCATACATCACGGCCAAACGTTAGCGACTGGGTAAATCAGATCCAATCATTTTAAACTTCAACAGAGTCCACAGCTCCAGCAAGAAATCACTTCTCAGTAGCCGAGGGTCCAGACCCTCTGTACGAAGCAAAGCAAAGACCAAGGCTGGTCTTTATTAGTGGTTCATGAAATAATTTGCTAAGACACAAACAAACACAGACACGTAAACAGTTACATGATCTGCAGTAAAAAACTAAAAAACTTTTCAACCTATATAAAGAATAAACTTATTTTATTGAGATAGCTCATAACAATAGAACTAATGCTAAATATTTAAAAGAAAAAGAAAATAAGTTTCTGAGTCTAGAGGGAAGGGAGAAGTGTTGTAGGGTTAGATGAGTAAACCAGCAGAGAGGAAAGGAGAAATTGAATCTTTCCCGGGGTTAAACTCTCAGTCTCCTGCTGTTTTTGTCAGCCTTGTTTGCCCCTCGGAGGGTCCTCCGGTGTTGCTAGGGGATGTGAGGCTTGCATCATTGTTGCTGCTCATTCTCCCCTGACACCTCCGTTCACAGCACCGCCCTCCTCTGTCTCACAGCCTCCCCCAGTCCCCGCCTCGCCCACCCATCCCTCCCCGTCTGCCTGCGGTGGAGGTCGCCGATGAGTGGGTGAGCAGCGAGGAGGCAGGGAGAGCACTCAGTGATGTAATGCAAGACCAGGGCAACAGTCGGGCTGACAAATCACAATCAGGAGGAGAGGAGAGAGGGAGAGAGAGAGGGGAGACAGGAGAGGCGTCTCCTGTGTGGCAGGCAGCAGGAGCAGGTGTGACGTCCATGGCAGCAGGATGTCGGAGTCCTAATCGCAGCTAAAAGCAGAGAGCAGGCGCCGACGGAGGGCTTGGACACTCGGATTATGAGACAACTGAAAAAGAGGACAGAAAAGAGGACGACAGTGGKAGGAAAGGACGGACGGAGGGAGGGAGGGAGGCAGAGCCTGGGAATAAATCGTCGCGGCCATTTGCACCACTGCAGCTCCTCAGCCTGAACCACTGCCTGTCTGACTGTTCAGCTTCAGCCTGTCTGTCCTGAGCCTCGTCTCTCTGGATCTTTATCTCCTTCCTCTGTGTGTAACTGTGTGTGTTTCTTGTTGACTGTGTGTGTCTGTGTGTGTGTTTTCCTTTGACAAACATGATGAGACAGACTCCTGCGCTCCGGAAGGTACAGAACTTCATACAATCTTTGACAGTTTTATGATGTTGCTGTTTTTGTCATCATCCATTTGTGCTGCTGCTCTAAACGTCATGATTAGAAGTTTCATTCATTCATTTGGTGGGATTTTCCTTTCTCTCTCTCTGTTCTTGTGTATTAAACATTTGAAAGGGTTTCCTGCAGCACTCGGTGCTCTTTTTTATGCTTTGGTTTATTGTCATTTTTATTCACTGTTGGTGGCTTCTTGGTGGAATTTTTTTCACACTTCAATCATTCGGCTGTAGCTTCAAAGTTGAGTTGTATCATATTTTGTTTAGTATATAAGAAGCGTTTTTGTCTTACCACACATCAGCCATGTTAAACTATAGTTTAAAGGCCTAACATTACTTGAAGGAATGYGTATTACCTGCTGCCTTTCATGCTCATGTTTTATGTTGAGAAGTGATGGAGTTGTTGTTTTAGTCAAACTGAAAATAACATGGCTATCACAAGACTCCAAATATGTGTGGGGTACAAGTCTCAGGTACTGTAGCAATAATATCTCTACAAGTTGACTGAGTTGTAGCCATTTTGGGTTCATTAGCTATGAGGGACATCTTGAATTGGGACAACTTTAAAATATAATGGGCTGCTGTGAAAGCTTCATAAAATTCAGGCAGACACAAAAACACATTGACCTTCCAGCCTTGAGCCATAATAATAATTTCACATGTGTTTGCAGGTGTGGTAAATATGCTGAAAGGATTTTGTTACAGCTAATGGCACGACACTGAGGTCCAAAAAGACTGTCGACTCTCKTTGGGTTCAGCTGAGGTTAAAATCAGCTGAACTGTAATCTAATAAAACATATAACTATGACCAACCAAAGTGGAGAGAAATCAACAGAGAGAAAGCAGAAAATGTGGAAGTAGAAGATAAAAAGGACAGCATTTCATATTATTGTGTATAAATGTCAGTCATTTGTTTAGTTTTGTCATAACGAGGGACAATGTAGAAAAAAATACCCTTTGCAAAAACTGATGTAGCTTCTATAAAGTAAACAAAAATGGGTTTTAATTCTTAATTACACTTTACACATTCAGGACAGATTATAAACCAATTTGTGACCAGATTTTTAATTTATGATGAAATTTTGCATCAGGGCTGAAATTTTAATTTAATCAAGTATTGAGAGTCAGTTAAAATGTAATGTTAGTTAAAACACTAACCTCAACAGGCTGTTTTATTCATATTTATTTATTTATTTATTTATTTATTTATTTATTTATTTATTTATAATTTCATTATAGTTTTAATGTACAGTAATTGTTCTTTTTTATTATCTCTCAGCTGTTCTGCTTTTTAAAAACTAACATTTAAAACAAGATAAGTTGATGTTTGTAATTAATTAGCTGAATTATTAGCCTCTATCTATAGCTAGCCCTTCAGTATATATATTCATCTGCTAACATGCTAGCTCTTGTAGCTTGTAACAAACATCATTAAAAACCAATTTATCCTCTGGAAGTCAAGCCATGACTGACTGGATTATTCGCCTGATAAAATGTACAACAAACTAACAACAAACATTTTTATAACACAAATAAATGTTCAGAGGAAATCTCTCCTGGGCCRTCGAACACGACTGATTGACAGCTCTGAGCAGCAGGTAGGAGGGGAGGAGTGCTGCTCTGTGCTCCGTGTGACAGTTTAGGAGAGATAAAACAAACCACAAAACATTTTGTCATTTAAAAAAGGATTTAAATCGTAGAAATGGTGCGATGGAAACATTTATTCTGACTTTTTAACACCAGTAATTGGTTCATGCCGAGTTCTCACTATTGATCCCAAAGAAAAATTACRGAAACTTAAAAGAACTGAACCCCCAGTTCTTTGATTGGACGGTGACCTCTCTAACAGAGGGTTTTAACATTTTTTATCTGTTCTGTGTTACGATTTATTAAAACATCAACGTTTCTCAGTTCAGGAAGTGTTTTTGGTCAAACAATGAGATCCAGGTCAGTGTTCGATGTCTCAATATCTGGCAGATCAGGATAACGAGCTGCACCCTCCTTGAGGTCCCCTGACCTGCATGTTTTCCTTGTTTCTCTGCTCCAACACACCTGGTTTATTRATTGAACGTTCTCCTCAAGTTCTGCAGAAGCCTATTAATGCTCCATTCATTCAAATCAGGTGTGTCGAGCAGAGAAGTGTCTAAAACGTGCAGGATAGTGGTCCTCAGAGACCCCTGGTTTACACTGTAAATGCAGTGTAACMGAACTGGGCTCAGATTGGACAAGTAGGGACACAAAGTGGACATTGAGGTTGCAGCGGTGGTACCAGTCACAGATGTTCCTGAGGTTTRGGTCATGTGGGAGGAAAGAATCGAGTCTCTGAAGCTGTTAAAGAAGGGGAACAAAAAGATCTTTAGTTATTAGTCAGTGAGGTGGCACGTTTTCCCAGCCATTTTGCTTTCATCCACATTTTTTCCCCTTTTGATCTGTGATTTCTAGTTTATTATGAATTTTCCCTTGAATCTCTAACCTTGGCTGTTTGTTTTCCCCCCTCCTTCTTTCCTCTCCTTTCCCTGCTCCTCCTTTATTTCCTCCTCCCTTCGCTCCTCAGACCACGGCCAGAAGGCCCAAGGTGAGCCCAGTGGTYGCGTCGTTTGGGCTTCCAGCGCCTTTCACTCAGTTTGATTAATGTGTTCCTGTATGTTCGCCTCATAGAGACGTCTGTCTTCATCATATCTCATTTTTGTCACAAGAAAACTCAAAGGGATTTATTTACAGTACATCTTCACGGAACTCGTATTTACTCACACAATGTTAGTTTTGTCTGTTTTTGATTCCTTCACGATGTAATAATCATATTTAATTTTTTTTACTTGAGACACATTCCTGATGGGTTTCAACATGGAGGTCTKACAAAGAGTGGATAGCATGCSTTGAAGGAATGCATATCGCCCACTGCTGAAGTCCACAGTTTTAATTAAATCTAAWTGACTGCTCAGGTCTCACCAATAATCCTTGGAGAACACAAATTGCATAGCTCGTTAATAACGGTAAATCCATCATTATAAACCTGCTTTGTTTTAAGTCGCTCAAACATCAACGAATCCTGATGCCTCTAACGCAGGGAAACTCAAACYTTTTGGGTCTGGGGACCCCTTACAAGGGCAAAAATATTCCAGGGACCCCCTCAAATGCCATGGAAATATATTTTCTTTATTTAGTTTATTATTATGTTTGTTTTATTAGTTCATTGTTCTCCATGCATTTTTAAAAATAAAAACCAAATTAACAATTTAGTGGCATTTTTTTGAGGACCCCAAGATACCTCTCACAGACCTCTGGGGGTCCTGGGACCCCAGTTTGAGAACCAAAAGGCAGATGTTTAAAAACTCTAAGCGGCTCGATGAGCAGATTATTTTAGTTTATGTTAACTCAGTGAGAATAAATGCAGTTATTATTCGGAGAGACCTCCATCTTGTTTACCTTCACGTCCTTTAACCTTTGAGTGCACTCATTCAGRTTTCTTGTAGTAATGTTTATGTAAAAATTTGTATTTTCATTTTTGTCTTAATTCCTTCAGCAGCCSAGCCGCCCCGCCGGCGGTGGGGGGAAGGGGGCTCCGTCCGGCTCGGCCTCGGCCTCCGCCGGTGAGATGAGCAGCAGTGAGCCCAGCACGCCGGCCCAGACCCCGCTGGCAGCTCCGGTCATCCCTACCCTCCACTCYCCCGGAAATCTGCAGGCTCCCGTTCCCAGCAAGGTCAGCGTCGGAGCGTGTCCGTCTAACAGAGGTTTCTCATTAATGCCTGAATATAACCTTTAGTCAGCTCAGACAACATGCAACACAGCACTGTGAGTACAAACCACAACAGAGAAATCAGTAAAATAAGTGATTTTAGAGCTCTCGGTTTGTATTGATGCCATCTGAGCTCGTTTAAACACAAGCCGGAGGCTGAAAGCAGTAAAGGGCAGCATAAAGTCACTTATATAAGAAAACACAATGTTCTCTTACAGCGGCATCAATTTATTCATTCACATGTTTAGAAACTGTTTTTGCTGAAAACTCCTCACTTCATTATCAATTAAAGTGTTTTATGTGAATCCATCATTGGAAAGATTGTTAACATAGGAAACTGTTGTTTACCAAATCCAGTTATATCTGATATTAAGAATATTTTCTTCACCTCTTTTTGTGATTTCCCCCAGAATATGTTTTTTTAACCAGATTTGTTTTGCACTGTACTTAAATAGGGCAGACAGTAAAGAGGAAGTAAAACTCAGATTGATATTTATTATCGTTTTAATAAGTTAGTGAATAATTCAGCTTCAGTCGTGAATTTATAATTAGAGATGTGGATAACTGGCGTTTGTGTTTGACCCCCTCAGGAGGACGTCGTTATGGAAACACAGGTGCAGAGATGAGGTGTTTCTGCACTGGATGCTGTGCGCTTGTATTTCTGTCGCTAACATTTGAACAAGCTGTCGGAGGTGTGATGCTGGAGTGTGAGGCGCTCGCGGCGTAACGGGACTGAATTAGAACGGCGCTGTGTGTTTCTGCGACAGCTGTGCAGTGGTGTTGTTTTTGACTGCCATTTGCCATTTTAATTTTAGTCTTAGTCTTTTGAACAAAAATACTTCTTAGTTTTAGTCATTTCTATATTTAATGCTTTTAGTCGAGTTTTAGTCGACGAAAGCTTTAAAAAATTGTTTAGTTTTAGTCTTAAAAAAAGACAACATATTAGTCTTTACAAATTAATTT